GTTTGGCACCGGTATCGGATAAAACCTAAACGATACCCATCCCTATTTAATACTTTTAAGTATTTTGACAAATTTAAAAATAAATCATGTTCATGTCCATACTGATTCATAGCCTCTCTTAGTAAATGCCCAGAAAACCTTTTATTTGTGACTATAGCACAGGTCACCTACTAACTATATATACAAAACAGAAAATAGAGTGGAGACTGCGAGTCAGGCCAACATCAGAAATTCCAATAAACACTTCTAAACATTGTAGAAAGTTTAAGCTGCTATAGCTTCCAAAGGTGGGCTGACATCATATTAAACCTTGTGAATTAATAATGCGATGTCATTCAAGTTTATATGCATGTTAAGGCAATCCAGCAATTACTTTTGCCAATATACTGCATTTTCAATGTTGACTCTTGTACTTGGCTGGAGACAGCAAACAAGGCAATACTGACATTACAAGGGCGTGTTAGTGGAAATATTAAAACTGCTCAGACAAGCCTGAGTGGTTTAGAAAGTCTGTGGTCTCATGGAAATAAAAGGTGGTGACTCATTAGTTGTGTAACATTGGAATATTGCATGTCACACATCTGCCAGGACCACAAGTACATACTGTAATGTAACACGTGACATTTATTTTTATTTTTATGTGCTCTCAATAGGGATATGCACAGTGGAAACGGCGATTAGGGCAAAATTTCTTTAGTATGACATGAAGTGCATACAAGTAGAAGGTATATAGGTCAAAGGGCGTCAAAGGGCCCCGGTGTGGGGCACACCGATCAGCGGTTATCAATAGGTGTTTGGAAAACCTGGAGTCTGAACACTGACGAGTCACCAGAGAGGCGACAGATCGAAATCCAGGGATGATCAAAGTCCAGCTCCAGGTTTGCACAGCTCCCCGCGCTGCTGTGGCATGAAAACAAAAGTGACCAACAAACGGTGCTGTGTGACAGCCGCAATGAATGAAACAAGCCGACCACTGCCGAGCTGACACACACACACAGTGAGGGCTGCAGAGATCATCTGTGTGACAATGAGCAGCTGACCGCGGCTGGCAGGCAGGATGCCCAGCTAACGTTACTACACATGCCTTATAAATAAAAGTACTCACTCTGAGACAGCACATATTTGCTTGAGCACGCAGTCAGGTTACATCCTCTGACAGGCGTTATCCGGTGACTCCTGGCTTGTCTGGCGAGCTGTCGGTGAATCTGTGAAGCCAGAGGTCTAACCAGAGCCGAGAAAGTCATCATTTTAACCGAGTTACCTGCTTCCCTGCAAACGGTTAGAGTCGAGTCGTTAGCTTTTACACTCTCATAAAGTTAGCTAGCCTGCTGAAAACAATATATCGGCTGGCTTCCCTCCTCCTCCTCTCGTGCCCTCCTACCGTTTTTCTGAAGTCGGGGAAAACAACACACATTCAAATTGTGACCGCAGAAAGCAAACAACAATCTACTAGGCTTTACAGTGAAGCAATAGCACCAGAACAACACGGTTAAACACACTTGTTCTCGGCGCACACCATCGATAACCGATAACAGGGTTGTCGTTTGCACCAGAGAGGTCGGCTGGGGAGGGGGTGTAGAGCGGACCAATCAGCGACAGCCTTTGATGGGCGTTAACGTGCACGATGACGTCGAGAGGAAGTACAGCCCCCTTTGAGTAAATAACATTACGTGAGGAAATTGTTCTGGGATAAAATTACTTATATCTTTGAGCTTCCCTTTGAAAATGTATTGTTTTGGTTTCTTAAGTTTCTGGAAAAGTGTAATTTTTTTCAGCCTCCGACGTTTTAAAGTTTTACATCCACAAAACAATTCAATATAATTCACTTTCTTTCTTACTGCTATTATATTTGTCAAGTCTTATCGTTTCAGTACGAAAAACCTTCATCGGGTAGTTGTTTGATGAAGTTTTATATTAAAAAAATGTAATTTAAATGTAAAACTATACTAAACTACACATCAAGTCTATATTAACAACAACAAACAACAAAGAAGCTCTTTGAATTTTTAAGTTGTGCTGTTTTTTTGTTTTTGTTTTTTTTTTACCGTTTTGTATGGTGGCTTGTTTCTGATACCAATTGTAAATAAATAAATGTTTCTTTTTGCCATCCATAAGACAAATTTTTTGAGTTATTAACATTTGGATTTAAAATCTAAGATTTTGAGTTTTTATCCTAAATTTTGAGTGATTATTTCAACATTTCAAGATAATAACCTTTGGGGGAATATGTTCAAACATGGCACAAACATTCATGAGGTGGGAGTCAAGTCAAAGGTCACTGACCAAGCATGATTTAGGTCATTACTTGAGGATTAATGCACCAGTTATAAAAAAACCAAAACAACAACAAACATTTAATGCATGAATAATGGAATAAAATTAAGTGATGAAGTTTTACTTCTAAAAGGTCAAAGATCAAGTGCGGGCAGACAGGTTTCCACATGTGAATGTTAATACTAACGGGGGAAGCTGCTCTGTTTACACGTCC